CCTCGGGCGGAGTCGAATCGGCCGAGGCCAGCAGCGTTGAGTTGGTTTTCGATTTTCTGGCGATGCTTGCTTAGGGTACCCTCCTCACGGTCGGAGCGATCGGGTCTTGGGCTGGATATCCAATACTCTATATCTTGCATCGTTCTGGGGGAATATGATCTGACGTCAACCGATGATCTACTACTGATAGATGTATCACCGAATGAACGTTTTTAGAATCTTGCTTCCGAGTGACACAAGGGAGACGGCAGGAACCCAATCGAGCGCCACAGCAGGAGACCAAGCACCATGACAGGAGATGATAGGAGGCGGGGCGCCGCAGCAGGGGATGACGGGACACCAAGCGCGGAGCGCCACGATGGGACACGACGGGAGTCCAAGCGCCATACCAAGAGGCCGAGGCCCACAACAGGAGACGGTGGTGGGAGACGTGAAATGTTTCGGTACCCACAGGGGCACATACCCACCCTGACCAAAACTGTTGATAACAGTTTCAAGATTCATGCATACTTTTATCATTATTTACCAGGCTCTGTGATTAGTCTACGTGGCGCATGACGTGTTTCAATTAGCGCGTACGGCAAACTGCGTACGCAGAACCAGATACGAGGGGGGATGTTTCGGTACCATAGGGGCACATACCCACCCTCACCGAAACTCCCTCGTACCCGGTTACTGAGTGCCGCAATGGGAGGCTGGGTGCCGCGTCAGGAGATTGTGGGAGGCTGAGCACCACAGCAGGAGATCGAGTGCCGCGACAGGAGACGCTGGGAGGCCAGGCGCCGCGACAGGACACAGCGGGAGGCCGAGAGCTGTGACAGGAGACGCAGGGAGTCTGAGTGCCGCAGTATGAGAGGCCGAACGCCATGACAGGAGACTATAGGAGGCCGAGCGCCGCAAGAGGAGACGGTCTTCTGATGGAGAGTGAACTGCCTTGCTTATTGCTTTGACTTACTTGGTAATACGGTCTTGGTCTCGAGTATAATGTTCAAGGGTCTGAATATTGATATCCAATTGAGCATTGTATTGTTGCGGAGTATTACTGATATTTGTCACCTAAGCAAAAAGAAAGACCGATTACTCCTTAACCTAGTCCCAATGATTTGTTGCTATTATGCGGTTGCCATGGCCTCAAGGATAACAGTAGTTTGCACAGATGTCTTAGGGCCTATTTGTTTGGATTTTTTTTAGAGCTTTTTGGTCCTTAAAAACCCAAAGCTGAAACACACAACCATCTTTCAGGACCAGTTTTGTAAAGCCAGAAAGCCACACCAAAGCCAAAGAATACCCTGGAAGCTCAAAAGCTCATCTTGGGCACCTTCCAACAGTTTTAGAGACCGAAAATTACCCACCTGCCACAGCCAAAGTGCCGAAACGTTATTTCCTCCGGTCTTTCTCGCTAGTGCAATAGTAGTGCTGCCTTCAAGCCTCTCTGCCCTCATGCTCGGATCCATCGCCGACCCCTGCTTCGTACTCTGATCCGCCGCTTGCCATGCTCTCGCTCGACTCAAGCGCCGGCCGCCACCTCTCGCCGGCCACTTACAGAGGCAAGCTGCAGGCGCGCGGGCCACCGTTTCCAGCCGCAGCCGCATCTGACGCCCAGCTGTGCGCAACCGCTGAGCCGCCGGCTAGGGCGTCGTGCAGGCATAAGCAAGTATGGCGCCAGGGAACAGAGGTGGGAGGTCGTGGGGTGGGCCAGTGTTGGTCGGCTGGGAAGCAGAGTACCGAGAGAGCGGGATCACAGGAGGTGGAGCCACCACGGCGACCACCGAGCAGGGCTACATGGGAGCGTCTCCGTCCTCTTGGATCTCGCCTTCAGCTCCGGTGGGAGGGGTAGCCGCGGGGGAGCTTGTTTAGGGGAGAAAGCTGTTGTCAAACAAACATGGTCAGCTTTTAAAAAGCCAGCTTTCAGAAAGCCAAAGCCAAAAGCTAGAAAGCTAAAAGTTTAAACCCAAACAAATAGAGCCTTATTATGAGGCGCGGTTGTGTGAACCAAAGGTACTTTGAGCAAAAGCAAAGAGACAAATCCAGTATGAATTCGAAGTACTTGGCTTGTCATACCTCCCCAATTGGACCATGAATTCAATTTATCCATCAAGGGATTATACATGTGAACGAGGTTAGGGCACTCCCAGTACAGAAACTATCATGCCCTGTTCGCTTGAAATTTAACTTATGCTGATATTTATGCTGATTTATTGTGAGAGGAAAACATTGTTCGTTCGCTGAAAAGTACTGCTGAAGTAGTACTGAAGAGCATGGCTAGTTTCTATGAGCATCAATTGTACTATCACCTATGCATTTTTCTGATGTGACAAGGTAATTATTGAAGAGAGAGAAAAATTTGTAGAAACCGTGTCTAACTAAGAAACCAAGTCTTCACGTGTATCAATGATGAAAAAATCACTTGGCCTTGACGTTGGGGACAGAAGGAATAGTTTCTATCTTCTTCCCCAGATCCCGTGCGCTCACCTCCCAGCTACCGACAGCGAGCTCCCCGCACAGCAGCTCCTCCTCCACGGCTGCGGGCTCCTGCTCCAATGATGAGGTTAGAAACCATTCTCACTTCTCGGTCTTGCATTTAGGAAACGTTTCAGGTTCAATGATGAGGAAAATTTGTACTGCCACCTAAATCGATTGATGCGTTCCCATATATAGGCTGCTATACAAAATTTTACATGCAAACATATCATGCAACAATCCCTCCTCACCCATAACTCCTAATCCTTGGCAGACTGGCACCGATCGGTTTTGTCGATCCACAGTCGCCGCGCGTCATTTTCATTTTTTTTTACTTTTCCACACGAGGAACCTTCCTCATTTCTATTATATCAACGGAAATACATTGTTCAGCATTACAGATGAGATAGAAACAGGAGATAGAAAACCTAAAACGACAGAAACCGACCAACGCAACCTGGGATAATAGAGACTAAAACCAGCCACCAGAAACTAGAAAGAAACTAATTGGACCCTGAGCCGCACCGCGCTCACTAGCCAAAAAAAACCTACAACCAGAGTTTCCAGAGAAGAGTAAAGTAGCACTTGAACACACCGAGGCCATCATGGTTTTAAGAAAAGGCAAACCACTACACCCATCAGCTAATTCCTTCAGTCACCAACCCCCCATGTATTGGATCAGATTCAAGCTGAGTCTTCCGGATCAGATGATTCGCCGTCTCGAAGAAGGAGCTTGTTGACTTGTCTTGCCGTCTGAGTTGCCAGAATCTCCTTGGCAACCCTCAGCATCGTGTTTGCCCCCTCCACCAGCTGTTCATGGTCTATTTCTGCATATAAACCTGACCAGTAAATCATAAACGCGCACGCATGACAGATTATCTCAAGAGGGTTATTAATGAGTTTTTTTTTCTCAAAACAAGCTTTGTTTCGACATTTCCAGATTGCCCAGCATATGGCAGCAACACCCGCGCGTCATTTTCATAGAAACCCGAACACTGACTCACCGAGTGGGCGGACGGCCGCAGCGCCATCGAGTCCTCCTGCAGGCTGCAGCTGCTCGCAGTTTCGGTACTTCGGTGATAGCGTTCCATGGTGGCGTCGACATCCGGGTATGCTTCACCTAGATGCCTAGCATTGATCTCTCGTCCTTGTTCCATTCTGCCCCAGCGCAAGCCTGCGTACGTGTTAGAGTGTGATATTGCATAACCACGGCAAAACTAAAGATGACATACTCGATGACCGTTTGCCCAACACACCAATCAAAGAACTTCACACTGCTGTTTGCAGTGGTCAAATGCAATGAAAGCCATATATACAGTACACATCCACTTTGGCAGATCAGAAGGATAGCATCTGAAATAATTGGGTGGGCACGGGCTGGCCTGGGCTTAAGTCTGGGTATGGATAAGACCAGTCCCAAACAGAACCCGTGGGAAATTAAAAAAAGAAATTATTTTATTAATTGTTAAGTTGCTTTAAAATCCATGCACAACATTTTGGGAGGTCCACTGGAGCAATTATGTATTTTTATTTACATGATTTTTTAACAAAAAAATATTCTTTTTATGAATCAGAATCCAGTGTAATAGCCAAACGGCCTCATAAGTTAATTGAACCTGAAACGTTTCCTAAGCAAACCTTCATCCGAAATGTTTCTACAGAATCTAGATCTCTAATTAAACTGCACACTAAGCCTACGTACGGTTTCCTTCTTGAAAAATTTGGGCCATGCTAGTATTTGTCAATGATCTGTGCCAGTCCAAATGTTAATTTGTTAAAAAATAATATTGTTGCTGATGTGCACTTGCTCAGTTGCTTCCAGGCCACTAGCAACCTGAGTGAGCGTACTTTCTTGACCGGCCCGTGGCCCGGTGCTTTTCCAATTGCACGCAAGTACTATGCAACCACGCATGCATTGTGAAACTGAGAGCAAGTTGGGCCACTAGTGGGCGTTTTGGATCGGAACTAATATGATATGGTTCATGGTTGGTTACTGCTACTGGTTAGATGTCAGGATGTATATATACTACTCCTTGCAAGATGCAATAATTGACTTGGAACGTGCCCACGACCGATCGCTCCAGAGTCAATTGATTTTTTTTTTACTAGACGAATTTGTTGATTCTGGTCTCTAAATAAGTCATGCAATTAACCATCCCTTATTACAAGTGCAGTCTCTGACTAATAACAACAAGTTCTCAAAGAGCAAACAAAGTAACAAGAAAAAAACATTCATGGACCAAACTAACCGCTTCATGTTTAGTGAAAGTCCCCATTTATGTAGTCAGACTACATACGACATGTCCACTTTAGAGTTGGCCCGTCGTTTTCAAAAGCGTGTTCAGTATGTGGCACTGAAAATAACATGCAAGTATGAATAAATCAAGGATGCTGATCATCACTGTTCATCTCCCACCTTCCAATATGCAATCCCACTTGGAATAGAGATGTTGCATCGAGTATAAGACGGCCCTCCACAACGCGGAGTGACGCCAGAACACAATCTCGTTGGAGGCGTCCTCAGAAGGGCGACGAGGGAGATGAGCTCAAAATGGGTCACTTGCCTCCGTTCCCCTGTGCTCTCCATGCTGCTGCTGGTTCTTCTAGTCGCATCGGCCGGAGCTCAGCAAACACCAACCACAAGGACAGATCCAATTGAAGGTACGTAAGTCTATTTCCACTTCTACAAGGACAAACCTCATTGCCTCATCCTACATGGAGGAATAATTTCGGAGTATTTTTTTTCTTTTTTCTCTGCGAAGAAATTTGGGTGTAAATAATTAAAGAAGAAAGCACCGAGCTAGGCACTTTCAGAATCTTGATTGATACATTACCCTTTAGGACGGAGGTAGCGTATTGATACGGCCGGGGACTGATAAATATACTTTGGCTTTTGCTGGCAATGCAACGGTTTGTGACGTGATCGCATATCCATGTTTTCGGTGTGTCGTTTGCTTGCAGCGAGCGCGTTGAAGGCGGTCTTCGTCAAGCTCCGGCAGACGGCGTCGCCCGCATGGAACATCAGTGGCGACCCTTGCACCGGCGCTGCCACGAACGGCACTGACATGGACAGCATCCCAAACTTGAGCCCGGGCATCAGGTGCGACTGCACGGACCAGAACAACACTGTCTGCCACGTCACCAGCTTGTAAGTGTCTGACTCGATCTTCCTGTCGGTACGCGCGCCGCCACCGCGGCACTAGCTAGTCGCATGCTTGTTCAAGTGCGTGCTTATTCCTGCGAATTTTGCCTATTTCTCGTTGGTAGGAAATTGATGGGTGCTTCACTCTTGTTGCTGCAGGAAAATGTACGCATTAGATGTTGTTGGTCATATACCAGAAGAGTTGAGGAACCTGACGCACTTGACGTATTTGTATGAACTCTCGACTATCTAGCCATAATCTGAACCAAACAATAAGATTGTTTATTTAGTTGCAATAATTTATTGCTATCGTTTGTTCTTTTCTTTCCTGCCATTTCTCACTGTATATGCTGCTGCAAGAGGCAAGACCTCGCTCTCCATTCATATGCTCTCATACTTAATATATAGTCCAATGTTATATCTAATAAGGTTTAAATTTTCTTTGAACAACACCTACTGATGCCACAATCCATTTTCGCTGGTACATGATCTGATGTTTGTTTCAGGAATTTACAACAAAATTACTTAACAGGGCCGATACCATCGTTCCTAGGCGAATTGACTTCTTTGCGGTACATGTGAGATTTAGAACCTAACATTAGCCCATCGCATGTTTTGACTAACATTGAATCTTTTAAACTTTCTCCCTTCAATATACAAGGTCTCTTTGTGGCAATGCATTATCTGGACCTGTTCCAAAGGAGCTTGGGAACCTTGTGAATCTCACATCCCTGTAAGAAATGTCTTTCATAGTGGCATGACGCTTTTTCATGTTTTTAGTAAAGGTCTCTACTAAATTCCTAATTGCAAAATTTATAAATCTCAATTTAGCTTTTGTCCACATGCCTGAATTTATTCAAGTGTTTAATCATCAACTAATTATCTAAACAACAGTTTAGTTTGAGAATCCATGCGAGAAAGATCTCACGTTTATACTATTCAAGAGAAAAAATGCATCTTCATTCCTTCCAGTGAACCCACGATTAATTGGGAATAGTAGTTGTGCTGCTAGTACGTATAGCCTCATGCTTTAGGGAAATTCTAGTCACAAATTTTGTTCTATACTGACATTTCTTTTGTGGGATTTCAGGTGTTTAGCCACGAACAGCTTAAATGGCTCCCTTCCTTCTGAATTAGGGAACCTGGTTAAACTTGAGGAACTGTGCGTATTTTGACTAGTTATGGACACCCTTTAATCTGTACCTTTTCTCTCTCTTTTTCTTGCATGATTATGCTGCATGTTTAATGTGTTCTCTAATTCTTTTATCTCTTAAAATTGCAGGTATATTGATAGTGCTGGCTTAAGTGGTCCTATACCATCATCATATTCTAAGCTTACAAGAATGAGGAAAATGTATGGCTATAAAGTTGATTGTGTCAATGATATTATTCTTTGCTACTCAATCTTATATTTTACCCCTCTTTGTGTTCAGGCGCGCATCGGACAATGACTTTACTGGACAAAACCAGATTACATTGGGAGCTGGAGTAATTTAGAAGAGATGCAAGAATTTTTTTCGTTAACCTTTACTATTTGTAGTTATTTCTTAACTAGAAATAGTAAACACAATTTGTACATGTTATTACAATTTTTTTATAAATTAACAATGCTATTAGTAATCTATGAAGTGGTTATTTAAAAAAAAATTATATCATAGCTACATAAATGTTTTTCACACTTTTTTCATAGAAAATAAATGTAATCTTCATTGTTTCTATACTAGGTAGTAGTCGGCAAGTCAATCCACTTGCAAGCAAATGGTGCTTCAAAAATAGTAACGGGAGTTATAATTTTGTAGAGGGTTTCAAGGAAATTCTTTTCAAGGTCCAATTCCAACCTCTCTATCTAATCTTGTCCAACTGAGAAGCTTTTAAGTGATTTCTGATGACAACAGTAGCTAAATATTAAGGGTCGCAAGCTAGTGGGAAGACTGAATTATCTATTTCTATGGTGCAGGCAAATTGGTGAAATAGTAAATGGAAGTTCTTCGCTAGCATTCATCAATGACATGACATCTTTGAGCACCTTGTATGCATAACTTGTCATTCATTTAATGACTCAAACTACATCTTGGTGTTTAATGTTGTGCGACCCAGATGGTAAACCCTAAAAGTATGAGATGTTCCATTGCAGAATTTTGAGGAATTGCAAGATATCTGATAGCCTGACATCAGTAAACTTTTCACAGCTTACAAAATTAAACATACTGTAAGGGTTTCTTTTGCTTCCAAACTCCAGTCAAGTGCATTTTTAGCGTGCAAGATACTTTAATGAACTACTATGGATTATGAATTGTATATGACTCCTTTCCCTTGCTCATGCTCATTTATGTCAATGTAACAGGGATTTGAGCTTCAACAACATCACAGGGGAAGTACCACAAGCACTGCTGAATCTAAATTCGCTCAACTCCTTGTATGGTTCTTATTGCCTTCCAATACTTATTTCTAGGCTCTAGACATTAATTAGTTATCTTTCTAATGCCAAAAATTTGCTCTTATCAGATTTCTTGGGAATAACAGCCTTTCGGGGAGCCTTCCAAGCTCTATAGGATCTTCTGTTACAAACATGTATGTCATTGTGGTTCAATTTCATTTATGAAATAAAAGTGTGATGGTGTTTATTTATAACCTTGCCCCTATCTTTTCATCTAGAGACTTTTCTTACAATCAGCTCTCAGGAAGCTTTCCTTCTTGGGCTAGTCAGAAGTTGCAAGTGTAAGTGCTAGGTTATGTAACTCTATTGATGACTCGACCAAAATAAGTCCAGTCCAATTATTGTTATGTTTGAATGATAATCTAAGTTTAGCCTAGATTATTAGGCTTAGCATTTTGATTTCTGATACATCTGAAAAAAGCTTCTTCTGGTGCATGTGACTTATATAAGGTGTCGCATTTCTAGGCCACCTATGTTTCAATATCATCGAAGAAGTAGAATTAATTGACATCAGTTATTTTTTTTCTAGTGCACCTTTATTTTTCTAAATGGAAAAAATAATTTTTGCTATAGAAGTATGAACAATGCCTTCATTTGTTTAATGTTTCATTCTACGCAGGAATTTGGTGGCAAACAATTTCATAACCAACAAATCTAATAATAGGTTAGTTCATTTTCCAATAGAACCTAGAACTCCTCAAACACATCTATTTTGTTCTTAGAGCTCACATTTTGGATTCGAACTGTCAATTGCTACAGTACCGCCTTGTCTTTTGGGATGGAGTGCCTTCAGAGAAACACAACTTGCTTTCTTGGCTCTCCACAACGTAAGTTTTCTTTGCGATTTGAAGCATGAACCTACATGAGTAACACTAGACAAATTTAATGAGTTAACACTAATACTAAATAATTTAACTTTTCTAGTTTCCTCCTTTGCTGTGGATTGTGGGAGTAGAAGATCTATATTGGGCTCAGATAACTCCATGTATCAGCCTGATGATGCTAGTCTTGGAGCAGCATCCTATTATGTTACAGGAGCACAAACATGGGGTGTTAGTAATGTTGGGACATTTGTGAATGGATTATCAAATAGTGGGTACATAATCAACAACAACGTATATCCATTCCATAATACTCAAGATTCAGAACTGTTCCAAACAGCAAGGATGTCCCCATCGTCTTTAAGATACTATGGTATTGGACTTGAGAATGGAAACTATACAATCACACTTCAATTTGCAGAATTTGACTTTGAAGACTCACCAACTTGGAAGAGTTTAGGTAGAAGGGTTTTTGATATCTATCTCCAGGTAGGTTCCAAAGCAATTATCATGCACATCATTAATAACTTTGGATTTTAGCCTATAAGTTAGTCGTGATTTTCCTCTTGGTATTGGTGTAGGGTGAGAGGAAGGAGCAGAACTTTGACATAAGGAAGGCAGCAGGCGGGAAATCTTACACTGTTGTTAAGAAGCAGTATATAGTTCTTATCACTAGAAACTTCCTTGAGATTCATCTCTTTTGGGCTGGCAAGGGCACTTGTTGCATCCCTAATCAATTCTACTATGGGCCAGCAATATCAGCTTTGAGTGCAAGTATTTCCTTAAACTTAAATCATAATTTTAATGATATCTAGATAATTTCCTTTTGGATCAACAACTGCATATATGATTTCTTCTATGAGAACTAGTAATGATTCAAAAATTGAGTGAAAATTCATAAAACGCTTAACATAGAAGCCAAATATCAGTTATGTTGATTGGTTATTAGAAAATATTTTCAACAATTGGGCTTTTTTGACAGGTTTGTCTCCTGTAGCTACACCGAAGAAGGGTAGTGAAATAGTTCTAATTGTCGGAATTGTGGTTGGTGCAACAGTTTTAGCATCGGTATTTGCTGGACTCTATGTGTGGTGGCACAAAAGAAAAAAAAGTACCATCAGAGCAGCAAGCAGGTAGATGATACACTAGGTTGTCATAATTATTAAACCCATAAAAGATTGAACTTACATTAAACTTATTTTCTATGGTGTTTGTAGAGCTCCACAACATTGTTGGAAGACCTAATGTATTCAATTACAGCTATTGTGAACTAAGGACCGCTGTTGAAAATTTTAGTTCTTGTAACCTTCTTGGTGAAGGAGGATACGGGACAGTTTATAAGGTTAGTTAAACTATAGTGCGCATGGATGTCAGTTTTTTGCAATTTTTTTGACACGACAGATAAGTCCAACTTTGTTTTCATTATGTAAAAATGCTAGACTTGTTTTACCTCAACTATAGTTTGGGTAATATGTAAATTCCATTTTCTTCCTATTACATACTTCTCCAATTTTAGTTCTCATATCAACACATACAAATCACGAACATTTACTTCTATTTCCATTTTTTGTTTTCTATGTTTTACACATGGTCAATAAAATAAAAGTGGGTAGTCTAGTTCATTTTGTCCATTACATGATATTATTCTATAATGTGGATCCTAGAACTCGCCTTCTCAAAAAAAAATGCTACCTTCTGGTAGGGTCAGTTTACTGATGGCAGCATGGTGGCAGTGAAACAACTATCTGAAACATCTCGCCAAGGGAAGAGGCAATTTATAGCTGAAGTAGAAACTATTTCCCAAGTGCAACACCGTAATCTTGTGAAGTTGTATGGTTGCTGTCTTGAGGGCAATAAACCACTATTGGTTTATCAGTACATGGAGAATGGAAGCCTTGATAAAGCATTGTTCGGTAAACCATTTCATTTAATTTGATGTGGCTATGGCTAGGCCATGCATGTTTGTTATATAAATAAACCTTCATTTACAGGAAGTGGAAGAATGACACTAGATTGGTCAACACGCTACAAAATATGCTTGGGCATTGCAAGAGGGCTAGCTTATCTGCACCAGGAGTCTAGCATCCGTGTTGTGCATAGGGACATAAAGGCAAGCAATGTCTTACTTGACACCAATCTCAACCCTAAGATCTCGGATTTCGGGCTCGCCAAACTTTATGATGACAAAAAAACACATGTTAGCACAAAAGTTGCCGGTACATTGTAAGCACCCATCTTGCCCATTTTGTGCTTTCATTACTTTTCACTAACCTGTGAGCAAATGATAGTCTTTTTTCTCTTCAATTCCATGAAGTGGCTATCTTGCCCCTGAGTACGCCATGAGGGGCCATATGACTGAGAAAGTTGATGTCTTTGCTTTTGGCGTGGTAATGTTGGAGATTATATCTGGAAGGCCAAACCATGATGACAGGCTTGATGAAGACATGGCTTATCTTTTAGAATGGGTAAGCGCACTATAACATATAGAGCTATGTTCTTATGTGCTATTGGGAAAATCTACATTAAATTTATGGCTTGGATTTAAATTATTAAAGTTTACGTGCACTCGAAAGATATTCAATCCAGCACACACCATTTTGACACTCAATTAATTATGAAAAAAACATGCTCCCTAATGACAAGATCTCTATAAAGAATTCTAGTTGCAGCCAAGGGTGGATGCAACATGGGGTTAGGGCGGCTGAAGCCCCTACCAAGTTTGAGCCCCATGGAAAGAACAAAGTGGGAGGAGGGTGAGAAAAAATGGAGAGGGTCTGGGAAAGGAGATGTGAACCCAACTATAGTTGTTTCCTACAGTGCTCTTCCCTAATGGTATACTTCACATTCACATGTGCACATAATTATTGAGACCATTCATTTACACTAAGATTCGTGCTGAGAGGTACTCCCTCCGTCCAAAAAAGAATAGAATTCTCACTTCTCTCGATGAGACAAACAATTTTAAGTTTGACCAAATTTGTACAAAAAAATACTAACACTTATTATTCTGAATAAGTATCATTGCATTGCTTATGGAATATATTTTTTTAGTATACCTAATTAGAAACATAAATATTGATAATTTTTCTATAAACTTAGTAAAATTTACAAAAGTTTGTCTTTCCTAAAACCTAAAATTACATTTTTCGGGGGCGGAGGGAGTAAGCGGAAAGAACGAAGGGGCAGGTGGGGAAAACCACGAGGTGGATCAATGAATATCATGTGCGGAAGATGTTGGGTCATGTGTGCAAACATTCTAGAATCCATATTGCTGAAATATATAAAAGATTTTTGTAACATAAAATGGATGCTATACATCCATCATCACGTAGAATACGTACGTTCATAATATGCATGTAGCATGAAACATTTTTTCGTCAGCACCTTGATATTATCCAAAAAGGCTAACATAAAGCATTAAACTTTAGCATGGGGGCCTTTTGTTGATCTTATTCTTGCAAAATAAGTATCCTTATTTTCATTGTATTCGGACCTTAATTATCCAAAGAAATAAGAGTGAATTTCGTAATGTTGTAACACGGCCTCCGAGAGTGGCGGAGACCTACGCGTCCAGCAGTTCGCAGAGACGTCTCCGACCGACTACCTAAGCAAAAGCCCGGCTACCACACCTCCAGACCCAGAAAGATGACGGTTTCTCAGACTGCTTGCAGGACGCCGCCGGTGACCCTGGCGCCGCCTCCGCGCGGCTAGCTCGTAGGCGTCTCCGGCCGGAGGGGGCGGAGGCCGCCCCGCTGCAAGGCTAATCAAGTGCCAACGTTATCTACGTATGTGTGCAGGTAACCAGAGGAATGCTCTCATGGACGGCGCGGGTGCGCCGGTTCGGCCTCCGCTCGCAGGGGCAGAGACCCAAGCAGGAGGACGACAATACTGGGCGTCGGGGGTCTACGGCCTCGGCGTCCCAGGGGCGGAGACCGATGGCGGAGGCCTGATGGGCCGGCTGATCGCGCAGGCCCAGTACCTGAGGACGGCACGACAAGATTACCCCCGAGAAGAAAGGCGAGAAGTGGGATATTCCGAGAATGTACTGTAGCAGTTGAAGGTTACTATTATAAACTCTGTAAAAGTGGTAGTTGAGCCCTATAAATAGGGAACACTTGTAACAGTACGGGAGGTAGGTGAATGAATTAATGAAACTCTAGTTTTACGTGCCATTTCCCTACACGCCCGTTTGTCGTGTCTGTTTCCCGAGCCTCAGCCCGAGGGCAGCGCTTGAAGGGCGGAGGCCTCCACCTCCTCCACATTGTCTGAGACCGCAAGTCTCAACATTGGCGCCCACTGTGGTTTGGCCAAGGCAAACCAACGATGGCAGGGAAAAGAAAAACCACCACCAGAGCAGCAACAACCACGGGTCAGCGAGGAAGGCCTAGGCGCAACACTCGTAGCACCTACGCAACCTCGCCAGCGGAGGATGACACCAGAGCAGATGCCCAGGGTCAACCACCGGAACCCCAAGATCTAGAGATTCAAGATCCGGAGGCCCAACCAAACTCAGCCACAACACCCGAGCAAGAACTGCAACAGCTGCAAGCACAGTTGCAAAGAGCGCAACAAGAGAGGGACAGAATGGCAGCAGCATTCACAGCTAATCAGCAAGCTATTCAAGCGTCAGCACAAGCAACAGAAATAAGGCAGCAGTTGGCAGTCCTACATGCTGAGATGCTAAGTATGCAGCATGCAGTACCAGCGTCAACCTCCGCAATACCAGCCTCCGCAGCAACACCAACTGCAACCATACCACAAGGGCCTTCGCCAGTGATCAGCCAACCCACGATGCCATCTCAGGTGATGCGGAGGCCTATCGATCCCAAGTCCCCACTCTCTGAAGGCATACAACAGTCACCATGGCCAACGGTGTACAAGCCAATCACACTACCAAAGTTCAACGGAAAGACAGACCCCTATCAGTTTATTATGAGTTACGAGGCAGCAGTAGCCTTCGCCGACGGAGACGACGCCGTCTTGGCAAAGTCATTTGTCATTGCAGCCAAAGGCGATGCGTTGGCTTGGTATTCTATGCTCAAACCAAGTACAGTCTATTCTTGGGAGAATCTCCAGGACAAGATATTGGCAAACTTTAAGGGGCTAACAGCACAGTCACTGACTTCCATAGATCTGTTCCAGTGCAAGCAAATGTAGGGAGAGACACTACACGACTACTTCTAGAAATTCGTGCAACTAAAGGCGAAGGCACCAGACGTCCCAGACGAGATCACCATTGAAGCAGCGATCAAAGGCCTCCGAATCGGGCCGTTCGCAACACACCTAGTAAGAAAGAAACCAACTTCCATACAACAGTTGTATGACGAGTTCGAGAAATACTGCAGATCAGACAATGACCTCCGGAAAAGGCTGGAGGAGCAGGGTCAAAACAAACAGCAAAACAGCAGCAAAAACTCCCAGAAAACCTATACGAACCAGAATGCATCAAATCAGAAACCAGGCCAGGGGCAAGTGCTCAGCATCGAGGGTCAACCTCACCCCGAGCAAGGGCAACAGGCAGCGCCAGCACGGCCGGAGACCCAGACCAGGAACCAAGGTCGGCAAGGTTACCAAGGCAAAAACTGGAACATAAACCACAGCCAGAAACAACGCAGGCCATATTGCGTTTTCACGGCAAAAACGCAGGGCACAGCACCAAAGATTGTCCGGAGACAAAAGAGACACAGGAAAGGATGAAGAACAAGCAGAATGCCCAACCTCCGACACAGTAGAGCGCAAGAGAGGTCAACACCACCTACACAACTGGCCACCAGCAGTACTGCCCAATGTACCCAGCGCTAAACGCAACCCAAATACATCCCTCCACACTGGCCTCTGTCTATTACCCAAACTTCCTACCAGCATGGCGGTCAGCGCCTTCGCAACAGCCTCCGGCGGCTAACTACAGGTCGGAGGCAAGCCTGACCTACATAAACCCAAAAACTCCCCACATAACCTACCTCGAAACAAACCCACCGGCACAAAACCAAATCAGGTTCGAGCCTCCGTCGCAACAGCACCACATGCAGCAACTGCCTCCACCGCCACCTCACAACCAACCACCAGCACCAAAAAATGAGCCAAACCCATAAAACCAAGTCAACCCCCATGGACCGCTACCAACAATAGGCATGATACTACCAATCGCCGGAGGATCATCAATGGAGTTTCAAACAAAAAAGCAGAAAAAGGATCACCTCCGCCTGGTAAACAACGTAGCAGTCCAAGGCCTAGCAAAATACACAGATTGGTCCAGAGTCCCAATCACCTTCATAGAAGAAGATCTCCAGCTAGAAAGCTACCCTCACGCAGACGCAATGGTAATCAAGACCAACATAGCAGCATGGGAGATAAGCAGAGTACTGATTGACACTGGCAGTTCAGCAGATATCATCTTCGCAAATACCTTCGACCAAATGAAGCTCAGCAGAAATCAACTACAGCCCTCCGAATCCCCTTTGATAGGATTTGGAGGCAAGCAGATACAAGCATTAGGAAAAATCTCACTCCCAGTGTCGTTTGGAACCCAAGCAAATGCTAGAACCGAGTACATAACCTTCGACGTCGTCGATCTGTATTGCCCATACAATGCCATCTTGGGCAGAGGATTCACGACTAAATTCAACGCAGCCCTGCATATGGCCTACTTGTGCATGAAAATATCAGCACTCCTTGGTATTATCACAGTCCGAGGCAGCCAGAAAGAAGCAAGAAACATAGAAAAAGCAATCTACAGAGCCTAAAGAAACATCAATGCAGTCGAGTCCGCAGACAAAGAACTAGAGCCTCCGGATATGCCTAGAGGAAAAACAGATATGGCATGTCAAGAAGAGACAAAGGTGACCCCTCTAGAAAAGGAGTTACCAGACAGAAAAGTAACAATCAGCTCAGAGTTGAGCAAAGCAGAGGAGGAAGAGCTCATGGAAACTCTAGTAAAAAACAAAGACATCTTTGTCTGGTCAGCCTTCGACCTGCAGGGAGTCAGCAGGGACATCATACAGCATGAACTGGATATCAATGAAAACATGAGGCCAAGAAAGCAGAAACAGAGAAAAATGTCGGAGGACAGGATCCTGGCAACAAAGGTGGAGGTGCAAAGGTTGCTAGATGCAAAAGTCATCAGGGAAGTCAAGTATTCAGAATGGCTTGCAAACGTAGTACCGGTACCAAAGAAGAATGGCAAAATGAGAATGTGCATAGATTTCACAGATCTGAATAAAGCTTGCAAAAAAGACCCTTTTCCATTGCCAAGAATAGATGCCTCCGTCGACAAGGCAGCCAGATGACAGAGGTTTTCTCTCCTCGATTGTTTCTCTGGGTATCACCAAATCTGGATGAAAAAAGAAGACGAAGACAAGACAAGTTTCACCACTCCATTCGGGACATATTGCTACACCAGAATGCCGGAGGGCCTCAAAAATGTCGGAACAACCTTTGCCAGAATGACAAAGGAAGTTTTGGGCTC